GCTCATACCAGCTGGACAAGGTGGTGTCTCCCTGTAATCTCAGTGCTTGGGAGGTTGATGCAAGTAGATCTCAAGTTTAAGGCCATTCTCGGCTACATAGAAAGATCGGGCAAGGTTTGCTTCAGGAGCTGTGGGGAGCGTGGCTTTCCCCATGAATTTTTTTGAGTCAGAGGTAGCAAATAACTCCAGCCTTGCCATCTGAGACTGAGGAAAGGGCTCATGAACTCACCTGGCAAGCATCCCTTCCTTTTTCTTTATAGCCGCAGATCATCCCACTCTTGACTAGATCAAGAGAAGTTGATGTAACCTTCATCAGCATCTTATTACATTCCGAATAATGGATGATATTCTGGTCCACCTCCTGGAGAACTTCTGTTGGAATGTTTGGTGCTAATGAAGAAGATCAGCAGTGTATTAGTCTTCACAATGGAGAGCAAGCACTCCGGCACCCAGGAATGCCCTTGGACAAAGGCGGGGAAATGAAGAGTGTCCCTATTTGACACTGGGGAAACTGAGACGCAAAACTGTCACAGGGAGAGGACTGAGTAAGAGGCAAAACTGAGCAGAGCCTAACAGCACAGGTCAATAAGTCCATGGGAGGTCAAGGCAGAAGACTCTCAAGTGTAAGGCCTGCCTGAGCTACAGAGTGAGTTCAAGGCCACCTTGGGCAACTTAGCTAAACTCTGTCTCAAAACAAAAAGCAGAAAGGGCCGTGAAGACAGACAGTACCAGAGCCCTCCCTGGCACATTTAAAGGCCTGGGTCCAATTCCCAGCTCTTAAAAAAGGCAAAACTGGCCGGGCGGTGGTGGCGCACGCCTTTAATCCCAGCACTCGGGAGGCAGAGGCAGGCGGATCTCTGTAAGTTCGAGGCCAGCCTGGACTACCAAGTGAGTTCCAGGAAAGGCGCAAAGCTACACAGAGAAACCCTGTCTCAAAAAAAAAAAAAAAAAAGGCAAAACTAAGCCAGGAGAGGGATGATGTTTCTGAAAGGGAGGCAAAGCCTAAGAAACGAGAACCCATTACCACTGAATGTCAGTGGTAATAGTGACAAGACATCCTGCACATCTTTCTCTGTTATTTTTTGTTTGTTGATAAAACTGGCGTCTTTATGTAAATCAGACTAGTCTCAAACTGTCCATACTTCTGCATGTTACACCATACCCAACCAACTTTCTTCACTCTCTAGAACATAACCACAGGCTCTCAGAGAGAGAACCCTAAAGGTCACATGTGACTTCTTCTCATGTATAAGAACCATACCAACAGAGGCCTTCTGGCTCTCCTAATTCCTCTAGGCAGAAGGAACTCTCTAACTACCTAGATAGGCATCTCTGTTGAGAAACTAGCAAGTGACTCGTTATCTCATGAGCAAAAATTCACCCAAGGTGCTGGAGAGTGACAGATAGCTCAGCAATTAAGAGTTCTTTTTGTTTTGTTTTGTTGTTGTTTGTTTTGTTTTGTTTTGAGACAGAGTTTCTCTGTAATAGCCCTGGCTGTCCTGGAACTCACTCTGTAGACCAAACTGGCCTCCAATTCACAGAGATCTGCTTGCCTCTGCCTCCCAAATGCTGGGATTAAAGGCGTGTGCCACCACTACCTGGCTAAGAGCACTTGTTCTTGTAGAGGACCAGGGTTCAGTTCCCTCAGCACCCACATGGAGGCTCACAACACCTATAACTGCAGTTCCAGAGGATCTGACACCCTCTTTTGACCTCTGTGGGCACCAGGCAGGCGTTTGTTGCACAGACATACATACAGGCAAAACACATTCATGCACTTAAAATAAATCTGAAAATCCACCCAGGAGAACTGCATTGCATCTAGCCTTTGTCCACAGGGAGTGCAATACCCACAATCACTCAGCACATGTCCCCACAAAGCTGCAAAAGCAGATTTGACATCATTCTGGTTCCCATTTCTTTGGCTGTCCTCAGATATTTGTGCTGATTGCCGAGAAGGACCTCAACACAAGACTGGGATCACCGAAGCTCACCAAACTGCCCACCAGCCTATGCCAAGTAGTCTGCCTTCCTTTTTGGTCCCGCCCATTATCCTTTGTGTCCTTCAGGAAGAAGGCCTTGCTTCCTCCTGAGCACCGGATCTTACCACCTGGGGCTGGTTTACCCCATCCTGTCACCCAGCACTTGGTCCCAGCATTCACAAAAAAAGTCTCTGAAGGGATGCAGACGGGGTAAATATTAGAGGTGAAATTCACGGGGTGTTGGAGCTTGAGAAGAGCGATATCATTTTTAACAACAATAGCTGATGAGAACTGGGGGTGGACAATGATGCGCTGGATGGGAATCACCAGACTTGTGTTTTGGCGGTGGACACTCAGATCGCCCATCTTGACACTGTACTGGCTTCGGCTGTGGGAAAGAAGACATGCCGCCTCAGTAGCCATGACCCTACAAAGCTCCCTTGTACCCTTTCCACTCGTTTTCTGTTTCTCAACCTGGCCCCAGCCTCTTTGCCACTCTCAAAAGTTCTGTCTCTACCACCAAAACGCCTCATTGGTCCCACAGTTGTTTCAGCTGTGCCCTGCCCTAAGTCTTTCTAGTAACAAGATGATCGTAGCATGACACCCTTTTTGTGTGTCTTGGTTTGGGGATGTTGACGGTTTGTCAGAGAGGTAGATTGGACAGCAGGGTCCCCTCCAGAACACTCACCTCTCCGCTCCTCGCTCCTCACCTGAAAATACAGTGGGCAGCGGTGAGCACCCACTCGGCGCTGATGAGGGAAGCTCCGCAGATGTGCATGTGTCGGACCCTGAGGCTCACCTGCCAGGGCCACTTTCCCTCTTCTGCGTCCATTCCTCCCATGATCTTCGTCAGGCGTTGGCCGCACCCTGAATGAGGACAATTTGGGAAGAACTCGGAAGAATTAAGTGTTCAGGGGCTGCAGAGATGGCTCAGAGGTTAAGAGCACTGGCTGCTCTTCCAGAGGTCCTGAGTTCAATTCCCAGCAACCACATGGTGGCTCACGACCATCTACAGTGAGATCTGGTGCCCTCTTTTGGGCTGCAGGCAGAACACTGTATACATGATAAATAAATAAATCTTTGGGAGAAAAAAATAAAAAGAATTAAGTGTTCATGTCAGCGCGTCCTCAGAAAGCACCAACAGGACCCAATGACAGCCAAGAAGGAGGCTATGCATGTCCTGATGAACATCAGGGGCACTTCATACCCTCAGTGCTCCGGTGTCCCCCCACCCCCACCCCCACGGCAGTCACATTCTCCTCAGGAGCCACAGGCAAGGCAACCAGACTCCTACTCAACAGTGGCCTGGCCCGTGTCCCTCGGATTCAGCCTGTCACTAGCTCCCACTCTGAGCCTTGACACAGTCCCCCACCTCCTCACAGACACCCCTTCACAAGTTACCTAAGGCAAACGGCTTGAAAGCAGAGGTTTGGCCCTGACGGGCCGCCTTGGTCACCAGCACCTGCGTGGGTGGCAGTGGGTTCACCCTTGGGGTCTCACTGTGCCCTGCGGAGAAATCGGAAGTAGAGGACACAGTGGCAGCCTCCCAAGCCTCGCAGAGCTCCGACTGAAGCAGCAAGAGGCAGGTTATGAGGCCCAGGGAGCCCCCTCCGGACGCCATGCCACCACGGAGGCCACCGCCCCTCTCCCGAAGTGGCACCCGCTCCCCAGGCTCGCGTGGCCGCCCTGGGTTCTGTCGGAGAAACGGGCTCCTCGAAGGGAGGTGCCAGCGCGTCAGGGGCGTCCAGGGAGGGTCACGGCTTCCCGGGTGGGAAATGTGTCCTACACTCAGATCTTCACGCCACGCTGTGCACACCCAGAGTCCTGCCTGGGACAGAGGGGACAGATGTCTTTGATGGAGACCTCCCACTTCAGGACCCGCACTTCCTGCAGAGTCTGGTGTGGAACTGGTAAGGACCGGACTCTGGGAATAAGAGGGGGAGCCCTCCGTCTCCAAAAAGACACCTCAAACCGAGATTCATTCACTATACCTAGACGTGTAGGCTATTCTCAGTCATAGGACAAGATGAAACAAAATTAGCAATGTCCAGGTCTGGAGAGATGGCTCAATGCTTAAGAGCACTCGATGCTCTTGCTGGGGACCGGAATTCAATTACCAGCACCCACGTGACGACTCACACCATTCCTAACTCCTGTTCCAGAGGATCCAGCGCCCTCTTCTGGCCTCTGTGGGCTCCAGGCATGCACGCACATACATACAGGCAAAACACTCAGACACATAAAATAATAAAATAAAATAAAATAAAAATTTTTAAATTAGCCACCACCAAAGATACCAGCCAGTCAATCTCCTTTCTTACTACTCCATGTCCCTGATGTCTTCTGTGGTAACTCATGTTTTTCTCTTTGTTGCCCAGATGTTCACTAGGTCTCTCCTTCTGTGAGCATCATTACCCCTGCAGAAGAGGGGGAATGGAGGGACTATCTGTGCTTCTCACGTTTCTCCAATGGAAGGAGGAGAGCCATTGGATTTTTCAAGGCTGCTGGTACTCAACTTCCCTCATCAAGTTATTTTTCAATGTCTTGGGAAAGGGGCACATTCTTAAGATATTCTTTTGGTCATAGGAGGAGTGGGCAAGCAGGTCATACATCATGAATATATGTCAATAATTGCACCCCCACCCACCAAAAAAACCTCTGCATTCAATTTTTTCCTCTTTGAGACAGGGTCTTATGTATGCAGAGAAGCCTCTTTGCTGTGGAATAATCCTTCTCTACACTGTGAAGATGTGTTGTTCTCATTGTTGATAAAAAGCTGATTGGCTGATAGCTAGGCAGGATTTTGGGGGCAGAGAGAACACTGGGAAGGAGGGTGTAGTCGGAGGGGATGCCATGAGACACAGAGCAAGCAGGATAGGAAGTACATACAAGAGGTAAATGAGCCTTAGGGTGTAGGCAGATGTTTCTCCAGTCCCGCCTGGCCCCACAGTCCAGACAGATCTCTCCCACCTTGGTCCTACAGCTGCTTATAAAATAATCACACAGAGGCTTAATATTCATTATAAACTGTATGGCATATAGCTTCAGCTTCTTGCTAGCTAGCTCTTTCATCTTAAATTAACCCATTTCTATAAATCTATATGTTGTTACATGGCATGGCATTACCAGTCTGCTGAAATCTTGTTGATCCTTCAGCAGTGGGCTTGAGTCTCTCTTGACTCGGCCCTTCTCTCTGTATCTCTGCTTGGATTTCCTGTCTGGATGTAAGCTTTCTTGACATAGGCCAAAACAGCTTTATTATCCAGTGGGAGCCACACATATTCACAGCATACAGAAAGACATCCCACAGCATAGGGGCAGCACATAGATTAATAGAAATGGATTGACTTAAGCTATAAGAGCTAGCTAAAAACAAGCCTAAGCTAACTGCCAATCATTTGTATTAATATTAAGTCTCTGTGTGGTTATTTGGGGAGCAGCTGGCAGGACAGAGCTGAGCAGCAGTCTAGACAGAAAACTCTGTCTACATCTCTTGACTTTCTATATTACCAAAAATGACCTAGACCTTCACATCCTCCTGCCTCCACCTCCCAAGTACAGAGACTACAGGCATGTACCACCACACCAAGTTTATGCAGGGAGACAAAAACAAACACAGGGCTTCATACATGTGAGACAAGCACTCTTACCAACTGATCTACAACGCCAGCCCAGTAAGGAACTTCTGACATTTTGTGTTTGGTGCCCAAGTGTGGGCTACTGTTCAGCTTAGGTTTAAAACAACAAGGAGAGTGTGAACCTACAAACCGAGTTTCTGGTAGGCATACTCCTAATTTGGGCTCAAGCATAGCTAACCAATAGTGCTTAAAACCCATGTAAACTCTCTTTGTAAGGAAGCTTTTCCCTCCTGCCTTATACTCTGCTCCTGTCCTGCAGCATGCTGGGAGCTGACGTAGTCACTGGGTCCAGCGACAGTGAGGACTGAAGTGATACAGGTACAGAACTGTCGATCTTCATAACACACCTTCTTCAAGTAAAGAAGTCAGTGAGGCTGACTGCTTCCGTCAGCACGGGGGGGGTGTTCAGTGTGGCTAAGTGGCCAGGTGTGCCCCATTTAAATTGTCCTCACTTTTCCCCCACCAAGGCCTTGACTTTCTTGTAAGAATTCTCCTAAAGCTGTTAATCTGTGTTGAAACTGAAGCAGCCAAGATTAAATACTGTATCTTATTTCAGGTACATCCATGGCACAGTTGTAAGAAACGTGAAAATATGGCCGGGCGTTGGTGGCGCACGCCTTTAATCCCAGCACTCGGGAAGCAGAGCCAGGCGGATCTCTGTGAGTTCGAGGCCAGCCTGGGCTACCAAGT